ACCTACAGGATGAAAAAGGTGGGGCAAAAAGAAACATAGTTTGGAGAGAAAAAAAAAGAAAAAGAAAAAAACAGCAGACAGCCAAGGCAGCCATCCTAGAGAAGAGGCACTCACTGTTAAGAAGATTGGCAGATCTACATCTGAACAATGCAAAGAGCGTCCTTAGGGAGCCCCATCCAGCTAAGCTTCCAACTTATGAAAAGAAAGGACCTAAGGCGTTCTCTGCTCCAAGAAAACCACAACATACAAAAGCCACTGATGTGGGTGAAGATGGCCATCCCAAGCTGGCGATGAAACTTGGTGTGTGGTTCACATGGTGCTGACTGTAGAGGCATGAAAGAGGCAGGGGGATAATTGACTCTGCCTTTACAGTTTAGAGAGCTGCTGAGACCAGACAGTGTGTAGCAGGGGACTCTGTGATAAGAAGGCCCTGATAGGCCATTGTAAGAAACTGTAAAGATAAAGCCTGGTTGGCAGTGGAGAAACAAAGATGCTGAAGAAGTCAGAGTTGTGAGACATCTGCCAAGGAGGGCTGCCTACAGGAAGTAGTACCAGCCCAAGACAGAAATGTATGTCCCAGGTAGCAAAACTGGAGGACGGAGCACCCTTAGATACTAAAGTCTCAGATATCAGACATGCAGCAACAGGATTTGGTGTTTGCCTTGCTGCTTTTTAGTCTTGCTTTGTTACAGTGCCAAAATAACTGGGAAGGACCACTCAGACTCCAGATGTTCCATATTAGCTGAATTTTATTTAGCTTGTCAGCAACTGCACTCTCTGGGTCAGGATTTAGAGAGTACAGCCTCAACTCAGGGGACAGCACGGTTTATAAAGGTAAAAATCACATCCTGGTGAAACAAGCAGTTACTCAAAAAACAGGCAGTTACTCCAAAACAGGCAGTTACTCAAGGGTGACATGTTTGTTCCTGCAGGTGGGCAAGCAAGCAGTTACAGAAGCCAGATAAACTTTGACTAGAACCTTCCAGGTTTCTCTGTGGTCAGCTCTTCCCGGAACTGCCGGCCTGGACCAGGGCAGGGTCTGAGACAATTCATCAAGACAGCCATCTTATACAAAATAGAGGAGCTCAGGCTATCACAGTATTGTCCCACTATGCCCCCATTCCTTCCTTTTAGAATGAAAATATTCTGTCTATGCACTGGTGTGCTGGAAATATGTAATTTTCTTTTTTATTTTATAGGGATTTACAGTTAAAAGAATGCTCTGAGTCTCAGAAGAGACTTTGGAACATTGTTACAGACTATGGGGATTTTTGAAGTTGGAATCAATGCATTTTGCATTATGATATTGTCATGTGCCTTGGGGACCAGGGAGTGAAGTGCAGTGGTTTGAATGAGAATGCCCCACATAGACTCCAGGTAATTGAATACTTAGCCCCAGCTTGTGGTGCTGTTTGCAGAGGTTTAGGAGATAAAAGTCTTCCTGGAGGAAGCATGTCACTTGGGGTAGGCTTTGAGAGTTGATAGTCTTGCCCCACTTTATTATCCCTCCCTGCCTCCTATGCCTGCTTGAAAATATGAGTTCTCAGTTTTCTCCCCTACCATGATGGCCTCTTGTCCTTCTGGAACCATAAGCGCAAAAAAACTTCGTTCTATAAAATATCTTGATCGTGTTTTTTAGCACAACAGAAAAGTAAATAACACTGTGGTGAATGCCTGTAATCCCAGCCTTTGGAAGGTAAGGCACAAGGATTTTGAGTTAGAAACCAGCCTTGACTACATAGTGAGATCCTGCCTCAAAAAAGGGAAGATAACTACCCAATGTTGATGGTGACGTGGCATAATTATTCTCTCACAATGTTCATGAGAATGTAAATTGGTACAACCACTTTGGAAAAGTCTTTTGCACTAACTACTAAGGCTATCCACTTAGCCTGTGCCAAGAAATCTCATTCCTAGGTATATGTCCAAAAGAAACACACACACACACAAATCTTCATATTAGTAGTTTTATTTCTAAAAAAAAAAATTCTGGAAACAATCCAAATATCCATCATCAATAGAATGAGTAAGTGGTGGTTCACTGACACAATGGAGAATCATATAGTAAATAAAAACGCATGATTCCTCTACAAAATGACATGAATCCATATTATACACGATGCTGAGAGAACAAGACCCTCACACACATTTCACAAGCAGGCAAAGTTAATACATGTTAGCAGTAAAACTAATATTCGCAGGGGCTAGAGAGATGCCTCGGTGGTCAAGAGCACTGACTGCTCTTGCAGAAGACCTAGGTTCAGTTCCCAACACCTACATGGTGGCTAACAACCTGGGGAATCTGATGCCTCTTCTGACCTCTGAAGGCATTGCACGACACGGGTGCACTCACATATATGCAGGCAATACATTTCATACATATAAAATAAAAATAATATATAAAACATTTTTAAAAAGGAAATGAAGCATTTCTTAAAGAATGCTGATAAACCTTCTAGCTAGATAAACCACACAGTTTTCCAAATTTGTCTGTGGGTGAGGACATCTGTTTATGTGGGAAGATGCAAGATGAAGCATTCATTTACCCAGTTCTGGCTTAATCCAGTAGAGTCAAATGGTAGACATGGTGGTTTGGCAATTTGTGTAACCCAGATTCCAGGTGACCTTTCTCTTCTACATCTCAGAAATAGAAAACAACTAAAAGTTGTTGTTTTCTCAATGTGCAAATCTCTCTCTCTCTCTCTCTGCCTTGGAAGAGAACTTAACCTGGCTTCCCTGAGGTCGTCAGACTCTATACCTTAGTACTCTGAATTTTAAAAGCGTGGAGTAGAATCAGCCATGACCCAGGAGTCAAAACTATCTATTCATTACAGGATTCTTAGTATAGCTTCTGTGTTTCTGGACTGTGAGGTTTTGTTTTGTTTTGTTTTGTTTTGTTTGAGACAGGCTCTCCTTGTAGCCCCAGCTGGCCTGGAACTTGCTATGTAGACCAGGCTGGCCTTGAACTCATAGAGATCCACCACCTGCCTCTGCCCTTGAGTGCTGGGGCTAAAGGCATGCACCACCACACCCGCCTAGACTGTGAGCTTTGAAGAGACAAGCTCCTGTGAGATTTTTGTTCCTGTTTTCCAGGTACTTTAAACTTTCCTGATCTCTCACAATTCATTAATATGCTCTTTTTTCTAAAGCCTAGCCTCATTTTCATATATGAAGTCGAGATACAGAAGCCCAAATGCCTATTAATATTTTCTCTTGAATATACAACGGCTACCTTCAAATCCACTATGTCTAAAATCAAAAACCTTGTGTCCTCTCCCAAACCTACACAAATATCCATCCAACAATCCTCTGGAAACGAAATCCCCTGTGCCTCAGTGCACCTCACTGTCCCAAGCCTCCCACAGGGTTTTGTTTTGTTTCTGTGGTTTTTTTTAAATCCCCAGCACCTATAGCTTGCCTAGCATACAGTAAATTCAACATATGTTTACAGGAAATGAAGCTACTTGCAATGAAGAAAGAAACTAAACAAATTCTAGTATGTCCATAGCATGGAACACAGGAGTCTTCTCTTTCAAGCAGGGCCATCTTCTAAGACACCAAGTGGATAGTACTGAAACCTCAGACCCCACCACCCACTACATAGTTTTTTCTTATTTCCATATCTATGACACAGTGTTATACTGGACGGCTTCAGTTATCAACTTCACACACTTGAGAAGAGGGGCCCTCAACTGGGGAATTCTTATATTGGATTGGCCCCTGGGCATGTCTATGAAGCGTTTCCTTAATTGTTGAGTGATGTGGGAGGACCCAGCCCACTGTGGGTGGTGCCACCCTTGGGCAGGTGGTCCTCAGTTATATAAGAAAACCCCAAGGAAGCAAGCCAGTAAGCAGTGTTCCTCCATGGTCTCTACTTCAGTTCTTGCCTCCAGGTTCCTGCCCTGGCTTCCCTCAATGATGAACTGTGATTGAGATGTGCAAGCCAAATAAACCCTTTTCTCCCCAGGTTGGTTTGGTCATAGTGCTTTATCACAGCAATATAAAGCTACCCAGGACAGATAACACTTATGAATTATGTGTAGTCTGAGATTAAAACAACTAAGAATGTAATAGAACAACTATAGCAATATACTAGATGAAAAGTTGTGACAGTGCCCTTTCAAAATGTAAGTTTTGTATTGGTTCTTCAGAAGGGTGGCTCTGTAGCCCTGCACACTATGCCTGGCTCTATTATTTGCCCTGCAAAGTTGCCACACAGCACTGGAGTCCACCTCTCTTTCCACAACTTATGGCTTGATACCTCCTCTGAATGTAAGTGCTACTGGTTTCTGATAAAGACTTCTATGGATGTGTCCTTCATCTGTAATCAACTTCTGCATTGCTTCTAGAAATATGCCAGCAGCTTTTTATTGGCAGATGCAGCCTCCAAAATATGTTTTGTGTTTTTCTGTCCAAACTCATTCTTATAACTGTGTAACCATTCATGACTTGCATTGAATGATTTGGTATCAACCATCAAACCACACATTTTTAAAGAGTGAAATTTAAGGCTGGAGAGATAGCTCAGAGGATAAAGTGTTCAACATGTAAGAAAAGGGACCTAAATTTGCTCCTCAGCACCCACATAAAAGGCAGGGTGTGGCAGCATTCGCCTGTAACTCCAGTTCTGGAGAGACAGGAGGATGCTTGTTGTTGGCCTGAACAGCTGCTCTAACCTAACCAGCAAGCTCTAGGTTCAGTGAGAAAGCCCATCTCAAAAGTAAGGTGAGAGTGATAGAAGACACTCGGCACTGACCTCTGCTGCGCACACACGCATACCCATACACACGTGCACACACACGCATATACCACCCATACACACAAAGAGTAAACCTTATTATTTATACATTTCTTGGTATAATCATACCAAGAAAATGCTGTAACAGATATAAGAGAGATTTGCAAAATCTCAGTGCTTGACACCCTCATCCACCTGCTTTCCTTATGAGCCATGAGAAACCACCCTACCTTCTCATGCACCCCCCGTTCCCACTACTTACACGAACTAATGTTTCCTGATTCGTCTTCTGGCTTTGACTTCTGATGAGGTCAGTGTTGGTCCACTTCCAAAACCATGTTCTTAGATCATTTTCCATCCTCTCGGTAAACAGAAGAATAGTCAGGTATGTCATAGTTTCACTACAGATCTTATTAATTGATTAAAAAGATGCCTTTAAAACCAGGGAGAAAACGCAATCTGAATTGCATTTTCTAGTTTTACAGAGAACAGGCTGTATGTAGCATATCTAAATATACCATAGATGGCCCAGGACCATGGCTCTCTCATTAGAAAGTGAGGCTCCTCCGGAGAACTAAGCCATCTGGAATTAAAATCTGGTATACAAAACTTAAACAAAGCCTTTTACGGGTCTACTATTTCCTGAGCATACCTGAAGTCTCAGAATACTGGACACTTCTTTTTTTGTTTGTTTGGTATTTTTGTTCTTTTTTGAGACAGGATCTCCCTGTAGCCCCAGCTGGCCTGGAGCTCACTATGTAGACCAGGCTGGCCTCAATCTCACAGAGATCCACCTGCCTCTGCCTCCCAGGTGCTGGGATTAAAGGTGTGCATCACCACACCCAGTTTAGAGTACATTTCTTAAAGAGACCCCATGGATGGAAAATTCTTAGGACCTTCCAAAGCCTTAGTGCAGACAGAATGCTGGTTGGTACAGAGGACATTCTTCCTCAGTCACTTAGATTAAATGTAAACTCTTCACCTAGTGTTAGTGGGGCCCCTTCACTTGATGCCTATAAGGGACCCAACTCTTGCTCTCTATCTCTAGCAGGCTATTCTGAGTTGCTCATAGGTACCATGAGGCGTCATGATAAAGAAATCCTTGTTCTAGCTCTTGACTCTCTAAGGGCTGCTTATGTCAAGCAGCTCAGTTGCAAACCAACATATGCCACACCCCAAACTTGTTGAAGTGTTGCACCAGTGAGTTGTAGTGGCCTCACCATGCAGTCTCCATTTTAAATGAACCCCTCACTGATGCGGTGCTTGACCAATATGTGCAAGGCTGTAGATTTGGTTCCCAACATTGCAAAAAGGAAAATGACCCAAACAAATCCAGATTTGGTGAAAATGTGTACAGTCACGTCAATAAGCAGTCATATTGAAGTCTTTTCATTTTATTCGTTTAGGTTAGTATCCAAGTTACTTTCTCTGCTCCAACTACTTTATAGAAAGCTTTACTCCCATCTCTGTAGTGCTTGCCAAGCTACAGCCTTTCAGTCTTCTTAAGTTTCTCTTTATCAAGTCCTGGTAGGAATTGCTTGAAGATCTAACAACCTCTCAAATTTTAAGCGAAACTGCAAAGACAGTATTTCAAAAATTGATAACTTTTAGTTCATAAGAACTGAATTAGTTAAAAAAGTTATAAACTTTTTTTTTTTTCTTTTTGAGACGGGGTCTCTGTAGCCCCAGCTGGCCTGGAACTCACCAGGTAGACCAGGGTGGCCTGGAACCCACAGAGATCTGCCTGCCTCTGCCTCCCAAGTGCTGGGATTAAAAACGTGGGCCACCATGGCCAGCACTTAAATTCACAACTTCTAAAGCAGTGTAGAAAAAAGTTAATCAATACAGCCAGCACAGCAGGGGAAGGAGAGAGAGTGTGGGGTACAGAGACAAAGAGGCAGAAGGGCCCCACCCAACGCTTATCAAGAGGAAAGGAAATAATATCCAGAAAGTCAAATATACTTTTTCTCTCTCCCTCTCTCCTCCCCTTCCCTTCCTCTCTACAACCCTTCTCTCCTCGCATGCATTCTCTCTTCTCTCTCTCTGACAAGAAAAACAAAACGAAATTGTATGCTGTTTATCAGAGTTAAAAATAGCATAAAAGTGTTCAAAGAAAATGAAAGAAAAAAGTACTTGTATCAACATCACACTGAGTACAACTCAAATCAGAAGTATTAAATAAAGAAAAGGTAGTTATTTTATCTCAATGAAAGGTATAACTTACAATGAAGATAATATAGAACTAAATATTGATGAGGCAAATATCAAAATAAATCATGCAAAAGCTAACACAGATACAACAAATAACTTTTATGAATGCAGTTGCAAGTTTATTTTGACCAGTTAAATAAAGATAAATGA